TATTTTAGTACAGATTCACATCCATGGAAACTCGATCGGGCCATTCTTTCTGCCAACAGAGTCAATGTAACTCAGAAACAACTCAATAGCGATGGGTCTTTAATGACCATAATAATTCTGTGGAGGAGATTACGTTTAAAATATAAATGTTGAGGATTTTAAGGTTTAAACTATTTGACAGAAGTTTATAAAATATTGTCAATGAAAAAAATGTGTACTAGAATGTTGTGTTTAGGGGTCATGGAGTTGGCTCTGAACCACAGTGGCCCTGTGCCCAACAGGACGAAACACTGCCCCTCCACTGCCCGGGCCTGCGCCTTCCTCACAGCCGTGCTGCAGCCACAGTGTCAGCCATCGCTTTGTGATAGAGATTGTGTAAATCTACTCATTTTAATCCGAATATTCTCACTACTAAAGCGTGCCTAGATAGTCTACATTTAAAATCCGTTTTTTGTAATACATATCGAATTGTGTTCTGTTGCAAATACAGTAAAACCTGTGAAAGTAGGAACCTGTGGAAACCTGTCAGAGAAGGAAAGCTCCAATATTTTCCACGAAAATGAGCCATAGAAGAATGCTCATCCTGTCAAGACAGAAAGCTCGTGAGACCTAGAAACACATATAGTCTCTGTTCCCCCGGGTTTCACTGGCCATTTCTTGTAAGTCACCTGCCCCTCATGTTTTCCATGAACTTTGAAGTGTATACACACAGAGAGAGAAAGAGAGAGAGAGAGAGAGAGAGAGAGAGAGAGAGAGAGAGAGAGCACTTCAAAAAGTCGTGGAAAATGGGATTTAAAAATAATGATTTTTCCACAAAGTTTCTGAAGTCCCCTTGTATAAAGTTAGAATAACAACTAAATGCATTTTCTCTCTACTTTGAAGGACATTCTCATGGGAAAAAAAATCAACAACCTTAACTGCATGTTCTCTTCAGAAAGAGTGAGGTAGGTGCCACGTTGAGTCATTAGAAAAAATGTCAGCAGGATGAGGCAGCTGCTGGGAGAGTCGGCTGGGAGGACGGGAGGGCGGGGTGGGAGTACAGTAGCTGTAGCAAGCCCTCGGTGCCCGCAAAATCACTAGTGGGAAAAGAACAAAGGCCTTGCCAATGCAGCTAACGCAGATGTGCCCAAAGGCAAACTGTCAGAAGCAGTTAGGATGACAACTACTCACAGTTCATTATTTCCTTCTCACAGGTCACTGGGTGACAAGCTGGGTCAGCTGCTTTGTTGGCTGTCCCAGGCCTTCCCCCACCCACTATTCAATTCAAATAAGGGTGGGGGCCTCTATTGGATAAACTAACAAAACCAAACACATTCTTGGCACTTAAGGAGGCCAGAATATGGCGTTTATTTTACTTGGGACCAAACTTAGAATGAAATATACATTCAACCTAATTTATCCAAGCAAAGAGAAAAGCCAATTTCTATAACTCCCTGATAGAGGGGTAGAAACATTTTTTTAAGGTGTGGAAAAAGCAAACAAGGAAATATATAACCTGTTGTGAATAAAGAGCCTTAGAATGGAGACCTCATTCATTATGAAAATTGTCTTTTTCTCTGAAGAGAGAAATAATGTTTCCACTTTAGTCCTCCCTCAAAACGAATAACAATGTAATTGTTTTCCACAGGCCTGTAAACATGTACCATTTCCCCGAAAGTAAGACACCCCCCCAAATAAGACCTACTTACAGTTTTGCCTCTCGCTGAAATATAAGCCATTCCCCCGAAAACAAGACCTCCTGAAAAAAAGGCCCGCCGAAGCTACCATAACTCTGGACTCTGGACTGTAGCGGCGGGCACCGCCATGCAGCTCACTGTTGGCCGCAGCGCAGCCTGAGCAAACAGGAAGTGCGAGGTCTCTCTTAATAAAACAATAAATGTGTAACGTATTCTTCTTCAAGGAAAAATAAGACGTCCCCTGAAAATAAGACCTAGTGCATCTTTGGGCGCAAAAATTAATATAAGACACTGTCTTAATTTCAGGGCAACAGGGTAAGTCAAATGAAATAGATTTGCAAGTGTTGGTTTACATTTTTTAAAGGCTAGAATTCCCAATAATACACCAATCTAAACTACATTAGTGTTTATACCTCTTTTGTGTAAAATAGTGTAAATCACATTTTTTGGTAGTTAAATATGGTCGCTCAACGGGATGCCCCTCTATTATGAAATCCTCTGTAGAATGGAAATGACCGAGGGAAAGTGGTTGAAGGCATGGGCTTTACATTCAAATAGGCCTTGAGTCAAATCCAAGGTGACCAGATTTTAACATTGGTAAAGCGGGGAAAAAAGTGGGGCACCATTGATAAAACTCATATCCTGGCGAAATAGCCACATGGCAGCCGAAAACCGTATACCTTAGCTTGTCATGCATTCTTTCCAAAAATCAGGACTTTATAACGCCGTAGGACACAGGAAAAATTGTTAAAAATCGGGACTGTCCCGCCAAAAGTGGGACGTCTGATCACCTCCATCTTCTCTATTAATTAACAGTGTGACTGGGCACACCATGTAATTTATCTGGGGTCAGAGGATACTCTCATAATGCAGGTCTTGTTGTTCTAAACTCCACTTCATTTTCCAACTGCCACAATTTAGCTGATGTCATGTTCCGCCTTAAGTTTATTCTATGTTTTGGTGCGTTCTTTGATAAAAACAAGAACACATAAAATCATCTGCTGATGCTGAGATAACAATGCCACGAGTCTCATAGTTGGAAGGCAAGTAGACTTAGCAAGACAACCCAGGTTTCGGAGGAATCAGTCTGCCACACTCAGTCCCATGTTCAAAATTGGCACCACAATCCTTTCTGAAATGGGAGGAACAGAATTCCTCTCCGTTTCTGCTCAAAATAACATTGTTCAGGAAAAAGGAAGGAGGAGAAGTGAAATTGTGCCTGGGATGGTCAATTGTGGGCTTGTGGAAGGGAAGAGGAAGCTGTAGATATCTGTGTGAGGCTTAGTGGAGGGTAGAAAAGAATCACCAGAGCCCAAGGATTGAAGCATTGAGAACAGATAGCTAAGCAATTTCTTATAAAATAAAATTCATTCATTACTATTGACTAAAAACCGCACATTTAAATAAATCTTTTACATCTCTGCCTCTTTGCAGAACATTTTTTGCCTTCTATCATGTACTTCGTTACTGGAACTTTAAAGACATCCCATTTAATTCTATTAACTCTATTAAGTATGTTGACATGGTCACTGATAGTAACTTCTCCTCCCTACCCATCTATCCTAATAGCATATTGCTTTCTCCCACAGTGCCATCACTAGATTGTATTACATCGACAGAGATGACAGGAGTCAGAAACACCTCAGGGGAGATATAACAATAGAACAGACTCATGGCTGACCCATATCAACCCTATAGGGCACAGTAAACTGCTCCATAGGCTTTCCTGGAAGCAGAAAGCCCCATCTTTCTGCCTCAGTGTGGCTGGTGGATTCAACAGCTGACCTTTCGGTTAGCACCCCAACGAGGAACCAATTAGGCCCCCATGGCTTCCTTAAGTACACAAGCTCTTCAGCCTTCAGAGAAAGGTCATGGAAGCGAGCAGTCGTAGGACAGGCACAGTATGGGGAGTTAGCACGAGGGTCCCTGCACCAGAGTAACGCCCGTGTAAGTTTAAAACGCCATGAAAGTCTGAGGAATCTGAGAGCAGAAGAAACCAGTGCCACTTTTCTGAGAAGAGCTCAGGGTGATGGCAAGCCCTGAGTGCTCTCAGAAAGGGCAGAGGCGAAATGGCCGGCAAACAGGAGTGGGAAGATGGCAGACAATGCTTCACAGAGCAGTATTGTGAGTTCCCCATACCCCAGTGTTCCTTGAGATCTGGTCCTGGCAGAACACCTCACACAGTGACTGCTCACAGGGGGCTTCTCCTCTGAGATAAGGGGACAGCACAGTGTGGGTCCCTGTAGCTCCTGGTCATACAGTAGAGCATCAGGGAGTACAAGACCCTGCTTATCCTTAAAGATTTGGAACCCAGGTTTTCATACTGGTCGAGGACATCCCCAAGCTATGATATGAGGACGGTGAATTCGTTCTTTTCTTTATCTATGTACTAGCTTATTCAACGAGCAACACCAACAACAGGATTTGAGGTTTAAATAAAAAATAGAGACAAAAATTCAAGAGTCAATTTGACTAGGGAAAAACATTCCCCTCCTTCCAAAATCTCAAGCAGGAATACATAAGAATAAGAACTGGCTCATATTTGAAATAAACAGTTGCCAAGCTTTTCCTCACTCCTGTTCTCATGCAAATGTCATTTCTATTGACAGACTATTTCAGCCTGAAGATTCTCTTAAAATTTAGTGAGTATGTTAAAATTGCATTATTCTCATGAGTACTTCAGTCAAACTTCATTGCTAATAATGATGGATATGATCGCCATTTATGGAACCATTTTGTGGTTTATAAGATCAAACCCAACAATATAATAAAAAACTTTTGTTTCCACAAAAACAAAGAAGAGGTAGTTTCCATTTTCTAGGCAAGTAGGATTTTTAGGATTTTCCGGTCATGTAGTAAACCATCCATATTGCTTTTAAATCTTGTTGAGGAAATGGCATCAGTGCGTTACATTATCACTACTTCAGATGATCTCTTGTGCAATTACTCCCAGGTGTAAATGCAAAACTCTCCTCATGGAACATAAAAAGAGCTGTCTGTGGGTGTAGCCTTCTTAAGGACCCGTGGGTAGTTCCACAATTGAATATATGCTCAGAGCCACATTATCTCTGTGTATTTTAGTGTGATCTTAGGACACCGACCCTTCCACCATGTGCTGACAATGGATAACACACATTCATCTTTAACAAATGCAGATAATGTCACCTTGTTTCCTCAACTGTGACCCTAAGTGACTTTGATTAAAAGCCGGAGGGCATTTAAGATATTTCAATAATCTTCAGGAAATCAATCTTACACAAAACTGAAGGAACACATCGAATGTCATTGAGCAATAGAGCTCAGTTATGTCCGTCAGTGGCCTACCTCTGAGCAGAAGCCTTAGGATGTTTCTCTGCCAGTTTCCTCACCAGTGCCACCGTCAGCTGCTCTTTCTCCCCAAGAGAACCTTCTGGCATTACAGGGGTGTCTGAAGGGTCTGGCAGTTGGTGCAGATCAGGATTGCAGGCACTGTGGTGCAGGACCTATCCAGTCCAACACAGGAATCATGCAGCTAAGTTTCAGTGAGTCAGAATACCCTAAACGACACGTTAGAAATGCAACTTCTCATTCTTATGATTCCTTCAGTCTTTCTTCATAGGGATTGTAAATCAGTTGTACATGACCAGAACACAAAAACACATGTCTAAGAAAAGCTAATGTATCACAATCCATTTGGTAAAATAAGATTTACAAAACTACATAGTTTTATACAAAGATACAAGTTTATATAAATACACGTACATAAGAGAGGTTTCACAAGTTCATGGTGCAACGTCATTATCTTTTAATTCCAATCTACCGCCAGCCTTTAGAAGCCCTCTCATATATACATTTTATGGCGTGTACGGTTGTAAACAATTAATAACCATAAGATGTGAGTTCATGATTGCCTCCCGAAAGCAAATTGGACATTTTTCTTCTCTATTCAAAATTCATTTTAAAGATCTATTTCTGCCTTGACTCAGGCTCAGTGCACTGACCTCTCCTGCTAGGCTGCTGTCTCGTTCCTGTTGAGCTGTGGTCCAGGAGCCATGGTGGAGGTGGTATTCTGTCTGGGTCACATCCACGTGTGCATCTAGCTCCTCGAGGTAGGTCAGAACAAACTGAGGATGGGCCTTTCACAAGAAAGATAAGCATCATGAAAAAGGGGAGTGAGTCTTGTAAGCCAGAGCCACAAAATCTACAGAACTGGGAAAGTGGGGAGATAAGGTAGATTCACCATCAAGTGGTTGGGCTAAGAAATCTGCTGTCATTTTTACCTGGAAAGCAAGCTATATGGCCCTAATATTGAAATTTTTATTCAGTACTTTAATCTAATCAATTTTAGCTAGAACCCCAATGTGAGATAGATAGCTATAAATTAAAGTGATGATAATATGGTGCCCTTGAAGGCAGGCCTGATGATCTGCTTCCAAAAGATCACAACCTTGAGGCCCTACAGAGCAGTTCTACTCAGTAACTCATGGGGTTGCCACGAGTCAGAAATGGCTTACAGGCACCTAACAACCACACTGGCTGAGGTCTGTCTGCGTGGTGGGTACTCGTCTAAACACATTACATGGACGTAATATGCAGGGACTGTACAGTTCAGGAGTATTCGATTCTGCTCTGAAAGACACAAAAGCAAGTTGCCTGGCTGAAATTTATCCGATTCCTTCAGCCTGGGTAAGTAAGTGACTAACCTGTGAGAAGTACAAGCAGAAAGTAAGTAGAGACTATGTCTCTGAGCACAGATGTGCAGAAGGCATTCAACAGCCCAACTGCATTAACATACAGGGCAGCCCAGAGACGGGATACACTGAAAATAAATGGAAGGTGTCCCTGGGTTGTGTGAGTGGTTAACGGGTTCAGCCTCTAAAGAAAAGAGTGGAGGGGTCCCCTAGAGGCACTGCAGAAGCAAGGCCTGACAAACTCTAAAAATTCAGCCATGGAAATCATTCTACTGAGAAAGCTCTACTCTGACACATCTGGGGTCACCATGAGTCAGAATACGTACATTTAAAAGTAAATGAAACCCTCGTGGGGCACAAAAATCATTGGATCTTTACCTGGCGACCCACCACTATGCCTCACGGGGGAACCACGTATCCTAGGTGGGATTAAATCCATGACGGCTCATCAGACCACCAGAGTTTGCCCCCAGGTCTCTCGTGGGGTGTGTATGTTAGCTCAGATCTCTTTTTTCCATTAGACTGCTTTGCACAAATTTTACTCAGTCCTTAAAACCCTTTCACGACAAAACTGGCTTTCTGTTTGTAAGATTTTGTCAATATAATGGAACACATGCTACATGACTGAGTCTTTTAAATGTTTGTTTGGCAAGCTGGACTCGAGTAAATATTTTATAGGACACATACATCCAAGTGAGCTTTGAGAGGAGGACAAGTGGAATGAGACATGAAAACATTATCTAATCGTAGCAATTTTATTTGATGATGTGAAACGTTTGAAAACATGGGCTTGCACATGAAGATACCCTGCAGCGGCTGGCTGTACATAATGGTTGCTTGAGTCTCTTTTTTAGTGCTACTTCTCTGCTTCACATTCCAGACTCTAGAGCCCTTTACAGGTAAACACGGTCCAACCCGCCAGAACCTGATGTCAGGTGGCACTGTGCTTACTCTTGACTTGTTCTTCACAGGAGTGGAGGGTCTTTTGATTTTCCACAGTAGGCTGCTTCATCAGAGCGAGCCTCAGGAACGCAGACCCCTTTAATGCATGCTTTATCATCAAGTGATAAAAGGGGGAAAATGTCAAAGGCATTGAGTCTTGGCAATCAGGTGCATGAATGACCTAGTCTGATTGCAATACTCTCGCTGAGGGAGAGCGATGAGCTATTGTCTCCACCTCTTTGGGAATAGCTGTCAAAGTCACTTCCAATGCTGGTTGATGAATCAAACAAGCACCAAACTTTTTATTTGCGCTACCCAGGCTTCATGGGCCAGTCTTGCTTTATTGATGTGGCCCTTGAATAGCACCGTGACCCCATCCATTGCCACACCCGATGGCACATATAAGTCTTGTAGACGACCACTGCACATTCATAATCAGATGCAATTCATGAAGCTAGCCGTAGTCTAGTCACTCCTTTGTGAGTGGCTTTTGAATTGGCATTGCCATGTATGTTCTCAGTTGGTTCTTGAATCTTGCTGTAATTATAAATTCTGCAAAAGAGGTAGCATCCAGTGAGGGTCACTTGGACCAATCATGTCCGTGTACTGACAAGATGTGTCCCATCAGTATATGCACAGAAATGAATTTCTTTATTTTTGCTATGGTGGTAGGCCCCTTAATCTCCCACCACCTGTGTCATGTTGTATACTTCTAGCTCACATAAAGGTATAGTTTGTCCTTTATAATGTTCAAAATATCTTTCATAAATTCAGACAAAATTTTTAGTCTACTTCAGTATTGCCATGGGTCAAGTCTGGATAAACATGGCCATAGCATTGGAGTGAGCTCATTTGTCTTTTCAATGTACAAGACATCTTTAGCGTTTTCACTTTTGCTTTCATGCCTCAGGACAACAACATACATGTCCTTAAGATATAGTGGAAACACTTCGACCGCTTGAAAACTCAACACAAAATCATAGTCATCAAGTCAAGTCTAATTTATAAGGACCTTATAGGATGGGGTAGAATGGCCCCTTGCCTTTCTGAGACTATAACTGTTTACTTTAGTAAAAAGGCTCATGTTTCTCCAGAGGAGCAGCTAGTGCTTTTGAACTGTTGATCTTGCTGTTATTGGCCCAACTCATAAGCCACTACATCACCAGGGCTCAAAAGGACCCTATAGTGGCACTATTGGATAAGCATTGCACTGCTGAACACAAGATTGGTAGTTCAAACCCACCAGCTGCTCCCAGGGAGTAAGTTGAGGGGCTCTACTCCCATAAAGATTTGCAGAAACCTTGAATCAGAATCAACTCCATGGCACTGAGTACACATTTGTGAGGCTCCTACCCTCACAGGAATGAGGCTGGGAATCATCGTCATCACCCTCAAAATACTCCCTTCATGTACATTCGAAAGGCCACACATGTTGGCCTAACATTGAGGTTCCCCAGGAGGGCTTATTCAGCAGGGGGAGTAACGCAGGCAGGTCAGCAGAATTTTGCCTGCAGTGTTCTAAACTCTGCTTACTCTTCCTCCTCATAGCCAGTGCCATGATCAAACATATTTTTGAAGCATCTTTCCCCCTTAATTATAAATGCTCAGTGTACAGTATATGTGTGTGTATATATATATACACATATATGTATACTCTACATATATTTGAAATTATACATATAATTTCAAAAAAATTCATGGAAAATGGAATGAAAAAGGAATTTTTCCCATGAATTTTTGAAGCCCCTTCATATGTCTTTATGTGATAAAATAATGTGACCTGGTTTTCCTCAACTGAAAAAATTAACATGTTTATGTAATTACAAATTCTTCCTTTGTATACCAACATGTAATATCTATAATAAAGACATATTACACTATATTTACAGTCCTGATGTTGATGCTTTAAGTATTTTTAATTTCCACAAGTACAATCAATGCTGTAATGATCATCCTTAAAGCTATAAAAGCCCACTGCCATCTATGTGATTTGGACACATCGTGGCTCTAAAGGGCTTCCAAGGTTGCAAATCTTTATGGAAGTCAATAGCCCCATCTTTCTCCTTTGTAGAAGCCGGTGGGTTGGAGTCGCTAACCTTGAGGTTAGTAGTCCAATGCTTTCCCACCCTTAAAAAAATTTCTAGGGGTTAAGTTGCACTAAGTGGAATTTCTAGATCAAAAGGAACATGTATTTTTAAACATTTTTATGAAAGCTGCCAAACTGATCCTCAAAAATAATGACCCAGCCTCCACGATGACACCTAATGGCCCCTACTTCTTGGCGTGCATGCTCTTGTGCAATAGCCACTCACAGACTTTGTACCAACCTAGCTCTACGTGAACATTGCAGATGTGATGCCTGCCACTTCCTAGACTGGATCATAAAAGACATGGCAGCTTCCATTCTGCTCTCCTGTTCTCAGAAGACTAACTCTGGGGACAGCCATATTTTGAGCTGCCTTATAAAAAGGCCCCTGTGCCCAGGAACTGAAGTAGCTGAGCAAGGACAACTTAATTGCTCTTAGAAGCAGATATTCCGTCCTATCAAGATTCAGATGACTGTAGCTCCGGCTGCCACCTTGAAGCCAATCTCATGAGAGAATTTGAGTTAGAACTACCCAGCTAAGCCACTCTCATATACCTGACCCACTGTGAACTAATAAATAACAAGGGTTTGTTGTTTTAAACTATCGTATTTGGGGTAATTTGTCATATAGCACCACATGACTACAATACGTAAATGATCAGCACAATGTTACTAAGGGAAGCGAAGACATGGACAGGTGCACAAGAGACACAGACAACAAAAGAAAACACTATCACATACCCAATGATGAAATAACAATAATAAACAATAATCTACAAGTAGATACACAGACAATAAACTGAAGTGCTATGGGTACTTGAATGGGATTATACTCACATCTATATAAAGGTCTGGCAGAAGATAATTTATATATGTATTTGTGTATGTTGTAAATATTGTATATGCTGTAAATATATCCATGTACCTAATAGAATCATCGGAAGCAAAGCCACTTCTTAGCCATAACCAAGACCCTTCAGGTAATCAATTACTGGGCTTGATGGCATAAGTTTTTGGAGACAGCTAACTCAACTGCCATAACATAGGTTAAAAGAAAATGATGCCATTTTAGTGAGGATCTTAAAAGCTAGTGAGTGTCCCTCTAAGATGCAACGATTGGTCTTTCTTCATCTCAAACAAAGAAGACTAAAGAAAACCATAGATGGATGGAAACATCTATGTATTTGAACTTGGTTCAAAGCTCTAACTAAGCATGTAAACCTTGAACCTGGGATCTGAAGAACTAGGTAGTGCCCAGTTACTACTGTTGACCACTGGGAAAGGATCACAGTAGAAAGTTCTAGATAGAATGGGAAGGAAATGAGGAACAAAACTCAAAGCCACAGGAAGATCAGGCTTACTGATATCTGAGAGAGACTGGTGAAATCCCCAAGGTTGTGGCCCTTGGTCACCCTTC